GGAGGTGTGTGAGGCTCTACTGGTGTATCCGGATTTAAAGCCTCATTTCATATGTCTAGAATACAGATAGGAGGATTTATACTGCAGCAGCATCTTTAATTTTAGGGAAGCATCTTGTATAGTCCGGTGATCACTGTCCCCTCTCAGCAGTCACTGCAATGCCTCAGTGCCTGTGCAAGACCTGCACAGTGAGAAATGAGCTCCAAGCCTGAGCCTGGTCCCCTTGAGACTTGCTTGGGCTGAATTCCTGGCTCCTGTCCTTTCATCACTCTGGGCCCAACTGAAAGAGTACTTGTGAGCTACCAAATATAGAATGTGCACAGCCTATTTCACAACTGGAACTTGCAAATGCTGGAGTGGATTTCATGGACTGAAGCCCCCCAGGGAGGGAGCATTACAGTAAATAATGTTAGTGCATTTGTTTAATCCCTGGGGATTGTGGAACATAGGATTAAAGTGGGCTAAGGGGATTTCCCCATTGACAGCTGCTCCACAGTGCACAAACACACACATACACACAATTTTTTTTTATGTAACTTGTTCAGGCCCGAAGAATTTAAACTGCATATGGTGCTGACCGTTATTTCCACATCTGGTTACACATATCTGTCTCCCCCAGTAATTGTCTTTAATAGACACAATTGGGGATGAGGTAGTTGTCCTAAGAAGAGACAGAGCTCTGTGTTCGAACAGGAAACCATTATTTCTGAGTTTAATCAGAGCTCATTAGTTCTGATTTTCTCCTTTCTCCAATATATGTGCACATACTTTAAATATGAAGGTCAAATTTTTGGTAAGGCATTCCTCTTGTATGGATGATTTGTCAGAGGTTCTTCAGACAGGCAGAGCCTTGGCCAGTGAGTAGAGAACCAGAGTATGTCTTAGCAGTGACTGGAGGCTGCAGCTCACTGGTGTTACATGGGTGCTCTGAGGTAAACCACCAGTTTCTAGAAAGGATTTCAGAGAAGGGACTGCAGTTTCCTATGCATCCTTAGTGAACCTGGCTGCTTGGTGTTCCTGCACAGGTACACAGGTACATGTTCCTTGCAGTACATCATATTTGCATATTTCTCAACTTTAAATCACAAACTTGCTATTCCTACTCTTCTGACTGAAAAATAAAAAAGATGGAGAGAGAGGGCTCTGACCCTTGTCTCTGGCATGGATTCATATCCACGGGTGAAGACCAGAAATTCATCCTGTGCCATCAGTGGATTTCAACTGTTTCTGTCGTTACACTGTGTTCAAGTTTAACGTCTTTGACAATCCAGTCTCTTTCTCAACAAGGTCAGACGCCAAAATACCAAGCTGTTGGCTACAAGCTGTTCTTGCTCACATGCTGCTTAGTACCACACACAAGAGTTAACAAATCAGTGGATCTACTGGCAGAGAAAGGGACTGCATAAGCACAGGCAGGATTGAGAAAGACAAACTCAGATTAATGCATGTATTCATTCAACTGGACCAAGCACCATCCACAGGGTCCATGTCCCTCTCAGCAGCAGGCAGGGCACTCTCCCACCCACAGAAGATCCCTCCTGACTTTGGAGGTTTCACACCTGGCTTCCACCTCATGAACACCTCTCAAGAAGCAACTCCTTCTGGTTTGTGGCTCTTGTGAAAATGTTTTCGATTTTTCCAAAGAGGGCTATTTTCAGAAGTGACAGAATCTGTTGTTCCATAGTTATTATTCAGGGCTATTGCTGGTCAAACATTATTAATATATTAACCATTTGCCTGCCAAACAGCTTGAAAGAAAACTGGTTATGTTTATTTTTAGAATTGTGTAAGTTGTGATGCTTGACAATTTGATATGCTTGTGATTACATCTGAACTCTATGCGGACCTAATCCTCTTCCCAGCTCCCATCCAGGCAGGGGGTGCAATCGTGCATCCCCTGTGCATGGATTCTGCACACCATGAAGGGCAGCCAGCTTCAGGTATTTGTGAGATGAGATGAAGTCCTAAGACCTGACCTTCCCATGTACAAGTACCTCCTGCCAAGTGAAGCCTTGCCTGAAGTATGCCTTATCCTGTTACTACCACAGGGCTGCCAGGGCATCAGTGGAAGTGGGAATGGGCTGCCAGCAGCTGAGCACATCCCATGGGATCAGGCTCCCTGCAAACGAGCTCCTGCTGGGCAAAAATGTTGTGTGAAAGTCTTGCTCTGCTCTCATGAAAATGCAGTGGTGCTTCACATCTATACTAGTGGGGGCCAGGTCAAGGCAAGAGGCACCATGTTTTGAGGCTGCTGAAAATAGCAAATTAAGCAGTTGGTCAGGACATCAGAGAAGCAATGTGCCATCAGCTCTGTTAGGGAGGAACTCCATTCCCTGGCTAATGCTCTTCCTTCCATACACATAGGTAAATTTTTTTGCTGTGAATTTGTTGTTCTCAGAATTATTCTGTGGTGTTTCAAGCAGCTACATGATTGAGACAGAGGAAAAAAAAGTATTTAAAAAAAATTTAGAATGAGAGTGAAGTTGGCAGATGTAACTTGCATCCTGTAAGAGCAGCAGTCTCTTATTTCCTAAAAGCTGATGAGGCCTTTTTTTTGTTCAACCCAAGTGATTTCTACAGCATCTATTCCCTTCACCAGAGAAAAGGTTAGTGTCTTTTACACTTTTTTTTGGGAAGTTTTAATTTCTTCTGTACTCTCTAGGCATAATCTCTGCAGAACCCTTCCAGATGGTCAAGAAATTCTTTATTTTTTCTACCTTCTGCCAGAATGTCTTATTCTCAAAAGGCTCATAGAGCTCTGTCCCTCTTCCAACCTTTTTGCTCATGGTCCATGATTTACTTTGCATCCTACTATCAGTTTTAAACAACATGTTCCTTGGCTTTACATATTCATCAGGCCTCTAGCCAAGGAACGCATTCTTCTGTGTAGAGGATGGCTTCACAGTGTTGATTGAGAGCAGTTCTGTGGCAGATCAGTTCAAGTTCTCTCTCTGGCATTCTATCCACACAGGCCAGGTAGAGTCACTTGCCACATCCATAGCGATGCATACACAGGGCTGCCTTGTCTTCAGTACAGATACAGGAAAACAATGTAGTGTGGATGACAGAGAGGTGCATTGGGTGCTGAACCCAAAGATTTAAAAGATGAGGCCTCTGGCTGTTAGTTTTGATTCTTTCACACATGAGCACATAATTACATCATGCATGAACACAAAATTACCACATGCATGAAGGCACAATAATGTCACGCATGAGCACACAATTATCTCATGCATGAGCATACAATTATTTAATGCATGAACACACAATTACCTCATGCATGAGCATACAATTATCTAATGCATGAACACACAATTACCTCATGCATGAGCACATAATTATGTCACATGTGAGCGCACAATTACGTCACACATGAGCACACAATTACATAATGCATGAACAAAAAAATCATTCCAAAAGAAGCCAAAACCTTTTCAGGTCCTTGTGCCATTTTCTTCAAACGCATTTATGACTGAGTGTAGTGTAAAGAAATGACACAATTTTTCTATACAGGGTACAGCTACGCTTTGTGCCCAGGTTTTCTCGGTCATAGAGGTGTACTGAGCCAGCTTTACTGGAGAGATAAATGAAGAGACTCGGCGCACATGGAAGGGCAGAGTATGTCCTCTGACATACCTGTGATACACACAAGGTGTGCATGCCCACTTCAAGGCGTGCAGGGGAAGGCTGGACATACAGGGAGCAGTTCACGAACAGTGTGGGGAGATGTGCGGGGAGACGTGTGGGGAGTTATCCCACAGACAGAGGAGCGCAGGGAGATGTACGGGGAGATATGCAGGGAGCAGTGTGGGGAGATGCTGGCTGCGAGCAACCTCGGTGCGTGCGGGTGCGGAGCGGGTGTCGCCGCCGGGCGATGCCGGGGTGTCCGCAGGGTTTGGGTGCAGGGTTTGTCCACAATGTCTGTCTGCAGGGTCTGTCTGTAGGGTCTCTCCGCAGGGTCTGTCTGTAGGGTTTGTCTGCAGGGTCTCTCCCCAGGGTCTCTCCGCAGGGTCTCCCCCCGGGCTTGTCCCCCCGGGCCCGGCCCGACCCGACCCTCGCGGCTCCGCGCAGCGCCGGGAGCGGCCGGCAGGGGGCGCGCCGCCCCCTCGCGCGCGGGGCAGCCCCGGCGGGAGGAGCGCGGGAAGGGCGGGAGCGGCCGGGGCTGCGCGGGGCGCGGCGGCCGCTCCGCACCGCGGCCCCAGCGCGGCGCCGGCCGGGCCCGTGCGGCGGAGGGCAGCGGCTGGGGAGGGCAGCCCGAGAGAGCTGCCGAAGCCGCCGGGCCGGGCTGCGGCGGGAGCTGCCCGGCGCAGGGGTGGGGACTGGCCGCTTCCTTAAACGGCGCGGGACCGGCGGAACGAGCCCGCACCGCCCCGGTGCGCCGGACCGCGCCGACCCTCCCGGGACGCGGCCGCAACACGTGGAGGGAACTTTTGAGGGACGCGTGTCTGCCCCGGACGGGAGCCCCGCCACCCGGGACCGCAACGCTGCACGGAGCAGCTCGTCTCTCTCCGGTTTGATGGCTTTGGGTGTTGGATTTTGGCTTTTTTTTTTTTCTTTTTTTTTTTTCTTCTGCTTTTGGGTGGTTTTGGTATTTTTCCCTCTCTTTCCCCTACTTCTCTGGTGCTCTTCTGTCGGGATACTTCAATCTCGCTGGGGCAAACGCCGCGTTTGAAAAGCCGACAGAAATGTTGCAACGTCCCTTGTGGCAACGCATTCTATTTATTTATTTTTATTTTTTGCCTTTTGCAAGGGCAAAGAGGAAGGGTAGGAAAAAACCCACCGTGATCAATACCAGCTTAAATACCCATCTGCGAGCCCCTGGGCTGCGGGAGGCAGGAGAGGGGAGAGCGCCCGCCCGCCCGCCGCCGCTGCCCGCTCGGCTGTAGCTCAGCCCGAGCCCTTCCCGTACGGATTCCGGAGGACCTGCGGCTCTGGGCGGGGAGGCGGCGGGGGCCCACGAGTTCCTTTCCCGTGCCCCCGCTACTCAGAGCAGGTAACGGAGGCGCTTGGGATTTTGTGACCGTTTGGTGTTTTCGCTCCCACCTCTCCGCGCACGAAGTTTCCGCAGGAGCGGGATCAGCGGTGCCGAGTCACGGTGGGCATCGGGGCCCGGCCCGAGGTGCGGGACTGGCTCCGGGAGCCGGGACCGGGACAGCTCTCAAGTTCGGGGACGGGGCTGCGTGGATTGCTGCCTCTCCCGGCCGAGGGAATGATCCCCCTCCGGCGGGGTCCCCGATGGCCCCGGGGCCGGGACTCTGCGCTGGCGGCGAGTACCGGCCAGAAAAAGGGGTTCTGTTAAAGATAGCGGTGAGCAGTGGTCGCCTGCGCCTGATGGGCGAGCTGAGGGCTGGGTCTTTGCGGGCGAGATGAGAGGTTCGTGTCTTCAACTGGCCTACAAAGTCCCAGTTCTCGGCTCCCGGGACCTGCCGGGCGCGCAGCGGGCGAAGACGGAGCGCGGCGGCGCCGCTGGCGCTGCCCGGGGCCGCTCGGGCGCGACGCGGGGTCCGGCCCGGGCCGGTCGGGTCCGGGGCACGGCGGGCGCTGCTCAGGGACCGCGGCTCGCCCGGCGCCGGGGCCGGCGGGTGCCCGGCTCGCCGCGGGGAGAGGACGGAGCTGGCTCTCCGCGAACCGTAAGTGCATTTTGTATTCTTCTGCCTCGGAAAGGGCTTTAAACGTGCGCGTCCCACCGGTGCTGGCGGCCGTCCCCGCGGCTTCGCGGCGGTCCGGACCAGCTGTGCCCGGCCCTGCCTTGGCGCGGAGCGAGCGCTCGGTTTCGCTCCCGCAGGACCATGTGCATCCTTCCCTCCGCTTTCACTTTCTAAAAACACATTTTTTTTTTTTTTTTTTTTTTTTTTTTTTTTTTTTTTTTTTTTTTTTTTTTTTTTTTAGTAAATCTAGTCACATCCATCCGGAGCAGCCGGGCTATTTCTCTAGCCGGAAATTCTCTTACTCACCTAAGCGTTATTACCACCCAGCATTCCGGAGTTCCTTATTATTTGTCGGATTTCGATTCGGCACACTGCACGTCTGCAGGCGCTGGTTTGTGCTCCTTCTTTGGGCACGGTGTATATACAACTCCGGGTGTGTATATTACTCTTGGCTTGTATAGCATCGTATTTATAACTTCTGTGCCCTTCTGTGTTATGTTACATTGCATTTTAAGTTCTTACAACTATTTTGAGGGTCCTCATAATTTTTTGATTTATTTCGAGATGTTTTTACTTCTCTCTTGTAAAAAGTCAATGATATTGACCTCCAGTAAAGAAAAAGGCGAAGTGGCAACAGTATTCTCATGGCTAAGGTCTATAAAAGCAAATGTAAATTTAAAATCTCCCTCTGTGTTTTTTTGAGCCACTTAGAATTTCATTTTCTCTGTGATGTAGCAATTGCAGGAGTCTACATTCTGTATGTGTGTACACAGACTCACACAAATTTTATGCTCTGTTCCTATTAAATTTTTATGAACAAACTCAGTTTTCAGCACAATTTTCTGTAGCCATTTCCCATGAAAAATAAGTGTTATTTCTTTTGCAGTTAGGAGAAATTTACAAATGCTGTTACAGACTTTTTTTTCTCCTTCAGCCTTTATTGCCAAACACTTGCGTGCAGCACGCTAATATGTGTATTAATAGCTATTGCTCTGACACATGTCAGGGCATACAGACCTTGACAGATCAAGATTATCTCCTATGTGTGGTCCCTCAGGTGCTTCTTTTTACTTGGGGGACGGTGGATGCAGTCAGGTCTTACTTGGGCCTGTTCTCTTCATGAACCTATTCTGGTTGGGAGCTTTGAAACCAAAATTTCAAGGAAAACTTTTTGCACGTTTCTTTTCCCTATGTGCCTGTTTTCCCAAAGAACCCAGTCTAGTGGCCACAAAAAGGAAAACTACCTGAATGTAAGGAGTAAATGCAAAGATACTGTTCCCCGTTTAGGAGAGAACCCCTTGGAGCCCACTCTGCTGGCCTGTTTGCAGCCGTCTTCTCCCTGCAGATCTGTGGCCCTTAACAAAATGAATCTGCAGCGAAATCACAGAAATCTGATTCTAATCATCCGCCCTGGAACAAGTCGGCGCTACAAGAAGACGAGCATAGTGTAAAAATACTTCAGGCACGCGGAGCCGTATCATTAACATTAAAACCTGATGGTGTGAAAGGGGGACGGGTAGCAGATTCCTGTGCCTCCTCAGCCCACTCCTTCCAACTTGTGCAACTTGTTAGGCATCTCTGGCAAGCAGTGATTTTTGTGGAGGTTGGTTGTGTTGCTAGTTGGTCTCCTGGACTTGCTGGTGAGCTAAAGTGAAGTTTTCCCTTTAATACCAGAGCTTCTTAACTGTGCTATTCTTTGTTAAGCTGGGTAAACAGCTGAGTTTAGCTTTTGTCAGGTTTAACATAATCTGGATTTTTTTTTTTTTTTTTTTCCAGCAACAGTTAGTTTCTTCCTGCCTTTAAGTAGCTCTGGCAAGTTTTGTCCCCCTGAAACCTGTTTTGGAGCATAATTTGAGTTACTACCTTTTCATTTGAGTGTACCAGTCAAGATTCAGTGGAAGTCTGGCTTCTGTAGAAAGTGAGTGCTCAGCATTTTATAACCACCAAGGCTTGTTTAAATGTGTACCTTTGAGCTTCCAACTCCCTAGTCACTTTTAGAGTTTTTTTTCTTAATGGCATTTGCCAAGCTGAAAGGACACATTTTTTAAGCAATATTCATCTGTTTGCACTAGTATGGATATAGTTGTCTATAGCTGCAAGAAATCTGTTGACAGACTGGCTGGTACTAGGAATGTGGGTTTTTCTCCATTCATCTACATTATTAGGATTATTTAGATCGTAGCCACACACACTGCACTGACAGGCACTTTACAACCTCTGTCTGTGCCCCAAAGAACATACAGTACAATGCAGATGTACTTCTCAGCATCTGGTTTACACTGTGGAGTTTAAACATTCCCTCTGAATTAAAGTTCAGGCTGGAAGGGAACATTCCCTCATGCCCCAAGTGACTTTTTGTGGGTCAAATTACTAAGTAAAAATATTTTATTTTTAAATAATATTGCTCTGAAGGCTGGGTTGGGGGTAGACCATGGTTTAGCACTTTCCAAATGCTAAAGGAGATGGTTCAAGCTTCTGCTGCAAGTTGTGGACAAGTTCTTAAATTATTGTTTTAGCTTTGAGGCTTTCATAATGTTCTGTGCTCTCTGGGATGCAGATTCAATTATTCCCCCCTCCCCGGTTAATAATGGGGCTTTGTTTTATTTTCACTTATAAACTTTATGCCTCTCTTGCTAATCTTTCTGTGTGTACAAATATGCTTCCTTTGTCAGTCAGACTTGGCAATACTTAGACCACACTAAACTAGTTCTGGGCAGTACAGCAAGGCTTTCTATTTATCAGGGCCTTTCTGGGGAAGTTTATTACACTGTAGGGGTGACATTTTCAGCCTTCTGAAAGAGTTGGTAAATATTTGGCAGGTTTTACTCCTTCAGCAAAAAAAACAGAAAGGGCCATATTTTATCTGTGATAAGGCCTGAAAGAAAACTATCTAGCCATTAAAGTTTGAGTTGTGAGGCAGAAGGGTGGGGTTCGTGCAGGATATTCTTTGAATTGCCCTGAGTGAAGTCAAATGTTTGCCTGCAATTTAAGAACCACTGTTCCTCTATGTTTGCAAATAGAGACCTTCAAGCCAGGGCTGTATTTTAAGTTGCAGGAGGGCACAGAGCAGAGCAAGCCTGTGATGTCTGGACTGCAGATATTTGTAATCAGGGACAGGTTGGAGTCAGATGGTGCCTGGGATCTTCTCTGTTGTTCAGTACAGACCATTCACAGAATGCTGGACGTGCTTGTGTTAGAGCCTTGCTGCTTGGACAGGGCTGAGCCCCACAGGAGTGGAGCAGTGAGTGTGTGCCCAGCTTGCAGGCACTTTTCCCTCTGCTCTTGGCTCCATCTGCAGATGGCAAATGCCGAGCTCGGGCTGTGCTCCATGCCAGCTCCCGCTCCAGGCCAGCTCTTCAGCACTCAGAGGCAAACCAGGCGGGGAAGGGAATGTGCTTCTCCTTCCCACTGCTGGCCTACTTGAGAAAATCCTTCCAGCTCCTGCTGATTTCATCACTTCCCTTCCTGAGGACCCAAAAGTGCCAGGTCCCAGGCGGGAGGGGAAGAGGGGAGGAGAGCCTGGAAGAGGCTGCAGGATGGCTGGTACTGGCCCACAGATGAGGACACACCTCTGAGGCTTTGGCTCTTTGCCACATTTTGAGTGACAACCCTGTCAAAAGTAAATTTGCAGGTGGCACCTGCATGACTTTCCCAAAGCACTTTGCTGTCTCTTTTTGCCAGTGTGATTCTTGCTTGGTTAGAGGGGTTTCTCTGGGGAAGCAAGTGAGAAGAAGGAGGGTCTATGTGATGGTACTGCCAGGAGGGTTACAACTGCTCAGATACCAAAGAGGGGAGCGTCTGATTGCTGGGGTAGGGAAACCTTTCCTTGCTGTAGGCAGAACACCTCTGTCAGGTCCCATTGCCAGCCTGGGCGTTTGTGTGAACCTTGGTGTGAGCCAGCAGCAGCATGGAAAAGAAATCATGTGGCTGCAGACTGAAGAAAATAAGCCAGGGTGATGCTGGTCTGGGGACAGCTTCCCCTTCCCAGCTCGTGGGCTTTGGATTCATGGCATATTTCTTTAGCACTGAAGAATCAAAATATTTCCAAGACATTGCTTGGTAGATTTGATTTTGGATAAGCTTCCTGAATTTTATTTGGATCTCGGTGGCCTGTGAATTGATGAAGCTTAGGCTGTTGGGTTTTCCCTTCTATGGCAGGAGGCAATAGACCTTTGTTCATTGTGTCCTTTGGGAGAAAGTCCTTCACAGTGTCCCTGATGTCCAAGTGGATGGATGATGTGCCCACATTTATAGGATTTCAGTATTTTCCCAATACAGATTTGTTAGTGACATCAGTCCAGAACTGGAGTTGTAACTCCTAGGTCATGCCTGATAGAGCTGTCATTCATTATTATTATTATTTTAAATACAAAGCATCCCACCTGGCCAAGGCTTTGGAGTCCTGCTCAGGCAGTTACTGTGCAGAACTTGGCCAATGGTGGGCAGATGTCAGCCCATGGAGTAATGCCCACTGCTCCAGGTGGGATTCTGAGGAGCAGACATCACCTGCACTGTCCCGTCTGCTGAAAGGGTCAGTGCTGGATGGCTGGAGGCAGGGCAGGATCTCTTCCCATCCTTTTCCTGGTGAAATCGAATGAAAGAAAATGGTAACATTCCAGTTCTCACAACTGGTTTGAATCTCTATAAATGCACTTCACTTTTTTTTTTTTTTCTTTTCCCATTCCAAGTATGGAATTTCCTCAAACTATAAAATTTGAAAGCAGATTTGATTCAACAAAATCTCTCTGCATGATAGCTTTTGAAGTATGTTGAGGAACTCAATTTAAAACACTTTAATTCAATCAGCAGGCTGTAGGAACTAATGTACAGTGGCCCAAAGGCCTGCTAAAATTAGTCATGGTTTTATGTTGTTGGAAAAAAACTCTTTAGGGGTGGCTCTGTTGTTACAAAGAACAGGACTTTTGAGTATATGACTGTTGGTAGGGTTAAATTCAAATATGCAAGTGCAGTAGTTTGAGGAATAAATTCCAGAAGCTGTTCAAGGCTCAGCTGCATTACAGAGCGACGATCAGGTTGGGTTAGGCAGAACTGCCGTGGACTGAAACATCTGGAATAATATCACATTTCCCCAAAGTGGAATTTTCTTTAAGAGCAGCAGCAATTGCTGATATTTGAGAGGGTGGAGCTAGCAGTAACCTACACATGGCTGGAAAATGAATTAAGAATTTATAGAGTGAAATATTGAGACTTTGTCAGGAATCATGATTTTGATTATGATCTCTTGTGCAAGGCATCAGCTAATTCTGAGAACTGGGGCTTTCCAGGCTGCGGGGATTGGTTGGGCAGTTCCTGCTGCAGCCAGAACTCGGCTCCTTGGCACTTGGCTTTTTAGTCTTTTGATGAATTCCAGTGAAACAAGTTGTGGCAAACTGATTTGGAAGCCAGAATATGCATGAAAAATCTTGTATGAAA